TTTCCAAAAACGTAATGGGTAATGAAATTAATTACATTATTATTATTCAGAAATTAATTATGGCTGATGTAAAATCTATAAATTTATATTTTATATTTAAAAAATGAAATATGCTTTTTACACTTTATAAAATACTTCAATTTAAGGTTGTGGACGAAACTCCTCCAGAAATCAATCGACCGAGTTTCTACAGGTTACACATTAATTGTTTATTAGAGTTTCGCATTTGGGGGTTTTGTCAATCGTCAGAGTTTTGACAAGGTACATACTAATTGTTCATTAAAGTTTCGACAGAGTTTTGACAGTTACTAAGAGGTTTCGGCATGCAACTTTACTTCAATTTTTGTTAAACCATAAACAATATCTTGCCTTTGAAGTAAAAAAAAATCTTTTTTAATGAAAGATATTGTCTCCGTGAGTAATTTTGAAATAAAACATGTTTTCTACGAACAGGCACTTTAATTATTTTTAATTATTGTAAAAAATACAAGTTGGTATATTTTATTTATTTTATTATCCTAAAATGATGTTCTTTAAATATAAAAAATACATATTAATTGATATTGCGAGGACGAAAAACAGGTTAGATCACAAGGAAGCAATAAGATTGGCCGAACTTTCTAATAGGACGTTTTATTTAATTATTCATTTTTATTTTTATTCAAATGATTGATCTAAAAATCATTACAAAATAAACCAATTTTGGCCAAGCGAAAAAAACGCCAGGTTAATTAATTAATATTTCAGAGCTTTGTTAATAAGTAGAGGCAGAAATATTTATTATCATTAATTTAATTTATTTGTAAAAATAACTCAACAAATAAATAAATTCTTTGTTTTTCTTATAAAACACTTTTGTAGTTGGAAATTAAACGTTAGAGTTTGATTTAATGATGCCTGACGAAATGCTTTTGTAGGCGGGAAATTATTTCGTCACATTTGGCGAAACGGTAAATTGACGAAATGTGACGAAAAGAAGAAAATGCGACGAAAAGGAGAAAATGTGACGAAAAGGAGATATTATAACAATTCTAAAAAATTTTTTTTAACAAAATTTTTTCTTTTAAATTTAATATTCTTCGTTAAAATGTCACACGATAGTCAAAACTAATCAAGATGAATCAATTTACGAATTTTCTGATAATAACTATGATACAAGAGATTTAGTAAAAGATATCTTTGTTGAAGATGAATTTGAAAAGTGAACATAATTCAGAAAATAGTTATTTTCATGATTATTGTGAAGTTAATGA